GCAATTAAAGCTAGCCATATGTCTCATACTTTCCCAAATCTTTCATATTCACGTTAGCCTACAAGCCATTTAATGCCTCTGGCAGCTGGAGATGGGGAGAATTCAAGAATGCACGATAAAATATTGGCTCTATTTATTAATTCTGTATAAATTTTGCCTCAGCTAGCATATCAGTTTTCATGAAAATCTAGCCATATCTGTGCATTTCAACTTGGTGAGAAATTTAAGTAGCCTTGAAATCACGATGCAGCCAAAGGCATTTACATACTACACTTGCGGCAGCACACCTATGCCTAAGTCGTAAGCAATGGTGTGAAGCAGGCGAGCGAAGGCTTTCCACTTGCTCCGTTTCCACTGCGGCACATCAGCAGGGAAGCAGAGACAGTTTGGAGCAGGATTCAATTGCCCTGCAAGCCTTCACCCTGGCAGGCTCCAACGGAAGAGCTACTCCCAGAAATCTTTCCTTCATCACTCTCCTAAATTCCCTTTCTCTTCATCTCATGACAATGAACCAGACCTTTGGCCACCATTTTATGTTATTACATTTTTTTAAACGGGCTGTAAAAATAGAACTGCCTGATTTCTATCTCCCTCCTCATTCTGAAAACTGGTTTAAAAGGCTGAAATCTTTAGCCACTTCAGCTTAATTTGTCCTTCTTCCCCTACAGATGTTTCTGATGTCCCCCTCTCAGCTCAGCCAACTACTCAGCTTTTTCTTCATGTAATTTCTGTTTCTTTTTTTTTTCTCTCTACCTTTTTATCCTTTTCATTATCAAGCATTCTTAGAATAGATTATGTTAAAACTGGCAAGCTGATTAAAATGCATTAGTAGTAAATAAAGGGAAGACATCTATATGAAAACAGTAAAAGCAAGGATAGCATCTTTCGGTGTTCATATGATTGCAAAATCATCTTTGAACTTTACATTGCTTGCAGTGGTCTCACTTCCCTGCGAGGTAATCCATATGGTCCATGGAGCTATCATATCAACAGAATATTCTAGCAAAATACTTCTACTAGTATTCAGTACATCCACATCAACAGCATGCAGCTTCAGAGGTAGAGATAATTCTTAAAGAATCACAGAATATACTACTAAAAATGCAGTTTGGAAAAATACCTAACTTTTAGAACTAATTTCATATCTTTATTTTGTATTATTACAAAATACAGAAGAAAACACTAAAACCGGGAATATTTTAAAGGCTATGTGAATTTACAATTACATTAGTAACAAATGTGTTGCGTTTTTTTAATTTAAAAAACTACCATGTATTCAGTTTTACAGGCTTGTAATACTGAAAAAAACTCCACTATCTGGCATAGCATTAGCTCCTATATGTACTCAAGAAGAAACTAATGTAAGCCCTGCACATTTTTTCTTTCTGTAATTTACAATATTCAAATTCAAGAACTGCTTCTGACTTTCATTATATTTAAGCAATCTCATACAGTTTTACTTGGTGGCCAAACTTGGCCCATAAATATGATTTTCCCACTGACAATACATGAATCAAAACCACCAAGTCTGCTTTGCACATTCACGCACTAGTTTTTAAGGACAAACAGAAAAGCATTTTTAAACTCCTCAGCTAAGCAAGCTTGATACAGGGTTGAGAGGAAAGAAATCTGTAACAATTTTACGATGTTTTTCACACTAAAACAACATTTAAAGCATAATGATGTCATTTTGGCTCCACCAAAGTCAGCAATGAAGCTGCCATCAACTACTGTGAAGCCAGAACTACAAAGTTAAATCTTCCTAAATATATCAGATAAGTGAATGCCAGGTCTTGCAAACTTGCTTTACCTGCAAAAGTGCAAGTCGTCTTGCTCAGTCTTCAAACTCTATTTGATGGGCTTACACACAGAGTTCAAGCAGACTTTTGCAACACAGAAAATACTTAAAGCTTCAGATGCAGCCTCAGGCAGGAGCTCAGCCTTCCGTTCAAGATGGTTGCTTTAAGATAACTTTGACCTGACACTGACAGGACTATACACCTCGAGGGAGGAGCAGAATCATGCACATGTCAAACAACAAGTAATTTTTATTATTTTTATTATATTAATATAAAAATAGGGTTTCTACATGGCTAATGGAGAGTGGAAGAGAAAGAAGCATGTGCACACAGGCCTTTCTCCTCTGTCTTAAAGTTAAGAAGCCAGATCAGACTGCTAAGGTGTAAGTTTGATTTCAAAGTCACTTGATGAAGCTAAATTAATTAAAACAAATGTTTTAAACAAAAGATTGCAAATATTGTAGCCATGCTTTTGATTTATCATAGTTTAAAGTCTGGCAAATGCCTCTCAAAACAGATTTAAGAGGCATGGTTTGTGTTCAGAAGAATATACAGGTTAAAAAGTGGTATAACAAAAGCACATGTAAGTATTTGAAGGAAGCAGCTGCAAGGACATGGTGACATCCCTAATAAAGTCTGTTGACAAAGTAAAAGCAATGTAAAATTAACACAAGTAGGTCAAGATTTAGTCTGATCAGATGTGGCCCATCATGAACACTATCCTGCTTTAACAGTGGTCTGATGCCTAAGACTATAATACAAAAATAAAAAAAATAATAATAAAAAAAATCAGTGTTTCCATACTAGTGTCCGAGCTTCCAATAGTCCATGACTTGGCAACTTTCTGATATTCACAGATGATGCATTTCTATTTACTAGTCCTCAATGAATTCTTTCACTCATTTTTAAATCCAGGTTTACTTTTACTTCACCAGGATATAGCAGACACAAAAATAAGCTAGGTTGGGGTTTTGTTTGAATGCATTAATAAAATAGAGCCTTAGCAGACAGACTAAACGAAGTTGCATCCCTACTCTAAAGGTGCATTTTTGTTAGGTTCCCACTAAGTGACTTGCTAACTTCACAGCATCCCAGACAGTCCTCTCATGGACTACAGCAGTTTCAACTCATTACATGTCACAACACCAGTTTATGCAGGCAGGGCAAGAGGAAAACTGGTCTACCCACCAAGGAACAACAGAGGTAAGAAAATCCAAATTTTTCTGTATTTCTCTTTTTTTAATCTAAGAGTCAGAGTAATAGCAGAAAAACAGGGCTCTGATTAGAAACCACCTGTATTATAACCAGGAGAGAAAGCACAGTTTGATGTAATCATTCAAAAAATACTTAAATACCTATCATCTGCATCAGGAAATACTTAAAGTAGAAGAAAACAAATAATTCTCTTTTCCCTCCAAATACGAATTTTTATTTAAGGAAACAATTTACAACTTGCAGCAGAAAACAAATTGGATTTAACAAGCAGTATTATTTAACAGCAAGATATTAATGGTGCATATCATATTTTACTATATATTTCCTGGGAGAACAGAGATAGTTGAGCTTTATCGCATACCATAATTATTAAAGGTGTATTTGGAGCATCATATGCATTAAATAGCACAGTAAAACATGTTTTTAGAGACATTTTAAACACACACAGTTTTAAAATCAGGATTTTTTTTCCCTACTTTTTGGAGCCCTTTTCTTTCTTTATTCAGAGAATATGTCCATGACTATTACTTTTGGACATATTAACATTCTTTAAACAATAAAACAAGCAAAACTGTCAGCATCAGGCAGCAGTCATCACATATCCCCCTGCTGTTCACCTCAACATGTTCTTGAGACTTCTGAAATGTCAGAAAGCATTTGGCCAAGTAATAACTTAAAAAAAAAAAAAAAAAAAAAAAAAAGGGAGGTTTTGGACAGACACACAAGGTTGTGTGATAAAGAAAGCAAAGATCCAGAGTGGAAAAACAGCCCAGGCTGGACCCTGACAAATCTTCCAAAATTCAGCTTTAGCATACTAAACAGCTTCAAATGCACTTATTTCCATGGGGGAGGGGAGAGAAAAAAGGTATGTAGAGGTAGGGTTTGGCAAGATGATAGTCAAATCCCTTAAACAGAGGAATGAGGAGACAAAAAAAGCAAATAAAACCAAACACAACCCTCCTTCCCCATGGTAATAAACACACACACACAACTCTAAAGATTAATCTTTTAATCTAAGAGAAATTTTACATGGATTGGGGGGGAGGGAGGAAATCACTGCACTGAAAGGTCTATTTAACCTAAGAATCAAATGCAATTCCTTATATACATATTTTTTTTGGATTCCTGACTTGAAATCTCCCTCTTCGTTTTCAAAATCCTGCTGTTACTTCTCGTGCATAAAACTGTATGATCTAGAATAACAAGCACAGGGGTGGAAAGCAGGGATCTTTGTATTGTAACCTCAGCCAGATCACCTATTTACCAAACACCCTCAAGCAAAAATACTAACTTTAGTTGTCCCTAAAACAGGGACAAAAATATTGGCAGATAGAGAGAATCCATGCATAACAGCAACATGAGATTTAACCTTTAAATACAGCCTAATATTGTGACAAAGAAGGTGAAAACTATGGAAAGCTACATATCTGCACTCCCACTGCCTGCAGTCAGTGATAGGAACTGGACTCTGACGTGGAAGGCAAGGAAGGAAGAGAACTTGAGACAGTATTTTTCTTCTCCTAATTTGTTAAAGAAGTGTCAAAACTAAATAGTCTGTGTTCAGAAATAACTCCACTGATAACTGTAACTCACAGAGGGGATAGTCTAGACTGGTGCAAATATTAAGGCATGTATGATATCATCTTTTATTTTTTCCTCTTTTTTCAAGTTAACATTGTAGGAACCATGCTCAGAAGTGAATTCAAATTCTTCAGATCCATATATAATATCCGTTTGGAGTTCTTTTTTGAGGGTTGGGAATGGAGGGGCAGAAGGTGGTGGTGGGACTTTTAAAAATTTATTTTATCTGTGGTGTTTCATATATCTGAATTAACTTCAGGGAGAAAAGGTTATGTTTAAAGTCTTAAATTAAGCATCTGTTGAGACCATAATTGATTATCTTATTTGATGATTTCTTTAAATAGAGACTGTAGACTTAACAAATAAGATCTGGAGGAAACATGCAGTCCTCCTTGGCTTGCGTACCTGTGTCACTTCCAGATCCAGTTGATAACGCTGGCATGATTTAGTCTGCAGAGTATCACACAGGAACGTCAGACTAGCACTCTGCAGCCAGAAGGCAGAAGTTAATTTCAGTTTAACTGCTTGCAGCCAAGTTGTCTACAAAGATTTATGCTATCTCCCAATTTCTCCTAGAAAGAAGAGAAACAGAATTTTACAATTAAGAATGTTGTTAAACTGTAAATTACTGCAGCTAACCAAATCCAATCATTATCACAAAATAAGTTTTTGATTTAAGACTCTCAAAACAAAGTGCTTTGTATTTCTTTATGACTGTTAAGATTCTCTCCCCCTCCCAGTCCGTAAAACAAGTTTTGTTTTCTTCAGTCCAGCCTATAATTCCATTCTGCTGTAAAAATAATTTAACACATTTCTCTCATGTAAATTAAACTCTTAACTCTAGCATGTCAGGTATTTTGGAAATAAAGTCTAGGGTTATTTTATTAAAACAGTGAATAATTTAAGTCACTCAAATTTTGCTACTACTGATCCCAGAAAAAAAAAATTGCTTGGTACCATAGTAATTTATTCAGTGTTTCTACTTAACCTCCTTTCAATTGTTTTCAGTTCATTTAAAATCTGACATGCAATCTTAATTTGTAATCTGGAAATATAATCTAAATTTTAACTGAAGTTGTAAAAAAGCAGGACTGGGGCAAACACTTCTCTAAGGTAAACAGCAGTTTGATTCATGGAGTTTACTTGAGCCATTATCATGCAGATGTAAGGAATTTTTCTGTAATTCATTAGTACAAAGTCAGTATTTTTTAAAAAACATTTTTTAATAATTGCATAGGCCTACTGATACTAAATTTGGGGTCTCTCAACCAGTTCTTGAGGAAAATTCAGAGCAAATGTAACAAAAGTAAAAACCAATTTCAAATGGAAATGAACATATTTAAATTCGAGTATGTTAAAATATGAAACTGGAACACCAACTTGTGAAAAGAAATTCAGAGTTAAGACTGGAAATGTTTACTAATAGCAGGGCAGGGGCTGATGTGTTTGCAAGGAGAAGGAAGGGAGAAGGGGAAGTAGAAACTAACAGAAAACAAGGGTTTTCTCCAGATTTCAGTAAACAGAAAGGATCCTTGAAGAAAGAAAGCAGCATAGTTCTGCTTTAGCATAAGAAAATAAACAGAATAGCATTTTGCTGCTGCTGCTGCTGGTTTGGTTTTTGTTGGTTTTGTTCGGGTTTTTTTAAACACATTCATATTAATCAGAATGACTTTTGAAGTCATCTTGGCTCTGAAAGTGCATATTTTGGACACATTTGTACTTGGCAACAGTCTTGTCGAAGAGTAATATACAGGTGCTGTAAACACTGTACACTGTTCAAAATTTTGTTTTTCACAAAAAAAAAAAATCCCCACATTGCTAAAAGTATTGCAACATATGAAGGGCCATCCACAAGATTTTCTTTAGTAAGTTTTAAATCAATTATTAGATATAAGCCAGTTGTTAACTTGTCCCTAGGCACAAGCCTATAGTTTAAATAGACTGGCAACTTATTAAAGTTCTTTTTTTTTCCTCCCCTAAGCGCTTACCCGAAGATTTTGCATGTCAGCTTTCAAACTCCAGTGAATCTGCTTTGTTTTTTTTAAGAAGGCAAATACAACAGAAGTTACAGCCCTGGATAACTTCTTCTATGATGAAAAGGACCAAGTAAAACTTAAAAACCTATCTATTAATATTGTTTTAGGGTTTGGGGTTTTTTTTTTTTTTAGTTATAAAAGTTTGTGGTGAAGAAAAAAAGTAAAAGTTTTCACTTAAAAAGCATCAGCTTCCAAAAAAATATTTTGACATTCATCAAATCAGCACAAAGTCCATCAGCTTAAAATTTAAAACAGAGATAAGGAAGTTAAGTATTTCAGAGTGAAAGCTCATCTTATGATGACAAAGTTGTAAAACATCTATATGGAAAGCTAGCCAGGGTGCAGTTTAAAAGGAAAAAAAAAAAAAAAAAAAAGACATTGTGGCAAGGACGCGCTGTACCAATTAAGAAGGAACATATTCACTTTGCGTTAATTTTGCTTGTTTTCTTTTTAACACATACAAGCACCATAAAGCAGAAGTCACATTCTAAGCTCACTTACAGTCCCCAGCATGAGCACACCACTACAGCTGTACAAAGGATGGTTTTCACAGATGTAAGAAACTGGTTAAAACGTTATTTACCATTAATGGGACATCTTTCATTTATATGCAGCTTAAAGTACTTTCCTCTATTAAGAAAAAAACCAAAAACATGCAAGGTGTTCTCATTATAGGTGCATTATCATTAATCAGAAATTCATGTTCCTTAAGAAAGTTCACTGCGAAAGGTGGAAGGTCTTGTTGATCTACATACATGTCATGTATTGAAACTTGATCAGTTTCTCTATTTTTCTTTATTTCACAGTAAATCATTCAATATAGAAAAAATTGCAAGCTCCTTATTATTTAAGAAACTTATATACGGCATAAAGTTATTCCCCCCAGATCCTAAATATATATTAATGAAAAATAAATGACCTGATGAAATCCTTACCAGTAAAATGCTTAATATTTTGCTGGAATGGAACAGCGATTTTTTTTTTTTTTTTCAAACTTGCAAATTAAGCTACATTTTTGCAGTGATGATGTTATTTTCTTTGGCTCACTTTATTTAAAATGCTTTGGAAGTTTTTGCCGGAGCCCAGCCATAGGCATTGCTGACTGCTGTATGGAATCGATTTGCTGCAACACAGAAATACCAGCTGTTACAGTATGTCCTGAGAGGGATTACCGAATATTCTTAAATTGAAGTTCAATCCATCTTTCCATAAAAATTAGAAGCCAACGCCAGGAACGTAACAGCAGTATCAAGTGCACCTGAGGCATTTACAATACCCAGCAGGACTGTTACAACCAGCCTTTAAAAAGGGCTTATTTTTGAAATTTCATTATTCCAGTCGTACCTTGCTTCTATATATCACACTGTATCGGGTTCTGCTGGCACCCGCCGTGTGGAAACACCGACGGACGTGCG